AGATTTCACACGCGTGTATTGTTGGTAGGAATGCGGCAAAGCGGCAGCAGTACAGCGGTTAGCGCGATTTTATGATGCTATGCCGCTGTCATTGTGCTCAGCTCTTTATGCTGTTTGCTAGATGTTATGTAGGACAGTGATGCAAATGCAACCGCATCAACCGACTATCGCTGACAGAACGTTTTGTCACGCAGTGAGAGTTAGAGCCGTGACAAACAACAATCACCAGTAATGGCCGCTGCTCACAGACAAAACGTAACATTCGCTGCTGATGATGAAAAACACAACGAAACCAGTGAAGACACACAGAAAAAATGAAAACAATGCCTACGCATTCCAAGTTCGTCTCTGCAGGTACGACTGTGTGAGTTACAAACAACGCTGGCAAAATTAAACGGAAGCTGTTGAGCTCACTCATCAACACACTAACATAAGCAAGCAAAGCAGAAACTGGTTGAAAACGAGCACAGATCATTGTCTTGATTGTCGGGAACGACCAGATCGGTGATGGATCACCACCGGAGACGACATTCACCAGTTGCTTTTTACTTCTTTCGCATCGTGGTCATGGAGAGTGCTTCCACAAGCACATTGATAGGAATGTACCAAGTATTACTATCATCACCTGTTTGACGATTGTGATTGTGATAGGTCGCAACTCTGATGTAGAATGCATACATTCATGCTTAGATTGCTGCAAATTATTCAAAGGCTAGAATTTTATATGTTGACTAGCGGCATCCCACTCTAAACTCAAGTACTAGTATACATTAAATATGTTTAAATATCTCATAAGTATTCTTTAGTATTTTTAAGTATTTTTAATCTTGCATAGTTTCCATCGTAGTTACTGGTTGCTAGTGTTGTTGTTTGTTGCTGTAAACCCCGTCAATTTTATAGTTTTCGTCACTTATGAAATGATTTTAATTTTTGTTGTAATCTATTTGAATTACGGATGGTTTAGAGTAGAGAGGCTCTAGAACCACTCTAGTTTTGAATAGACTTTCCAGTGCGCTATCATGAATTTGAACTCCTTTACAGAGCTGTTTTAGATTTCCATAAAAATAAGAAGCCGTCGATTGACATGGCAGACTCAAGAATGTAACAAAGAGTGTTAGCACAAGTTGTGCAAGTATGGAGAAGAATAAGTTCTTGGCTATGCCTATACAGGTCAAGGATACCAGAGTTACGATGCGCATTTGCCTGTCGCACTACGACGATGATGCGAACCTTTTACAGTAGGAAATTGTACTGATTGCAATACGCTTTTCGGGGAACATACATCGGAAAACGAAGTTACTTTAGACTGGTAAAGTAGTTTAATTGGCGTTTTTCTAAAAATCGATGTTTTCATTTGAACATAAATTTTCCTGTTTTAGTAATTGGAACCACCAACGACAAGGTGTTGGTGGTTGAGGATTTCAAAAACACTAGCATCGTTATCATTCTGATTCGTAGTGGCAAATAGATTATCCCGGTTGAATCGAAGCATTTCATGCGAGTCTTATACAGCTCGATCGTTCCAGATCGCGACACGTAAAATAAGTTGATTGGTTGGTTGTTTTTATTTAAAAGTTTTAACAATCGATACTTATTTATTCACATGTCTTGTGTTAAAATAAATTGATTAAATTAAATTTTTACAATCGTTGCTGTTAGCTGATACAATCAATGAAAAAAATGGATTCGACATCAACACATTGGCTTATCAATCATATCCAGCTCTAATAATGGGTTAACATATCAGAATTGACGGTTCCTAATCCAAGGAAATGTAGTTCATATTTACAACATGTTTACTATGTACGGCAAAGTGGTATAATTCTGCTTAGCACCTAATTCCGTGCATTTCGCGTAACATTTGCAATATTTTACATAATATAATGAGAGAGAGAAAGATTAGTAATTTCCATTTAATTCCACTACCTTATACCCTTGACAGATACGCGTATTTAGTTTACAATGTGAAGACTTCTTCAGTGTCTTGTACTAATACGAGTACGAGTCGAGTATTAGTACAAGACACTGAAGAAGTCTGCACATTGTAAACGAAATACGCGTATCTGTCAAGGATAAGCAAATAAGGTAGTGGAATTAAGTGGAAATTACTAATCCTTCTCTCTCTCTCATTATACAGGTATTCCACTAAGACACCCACATTGATCAGGAATATTTTCAGTTTTATGTAAATTTATATTTTTACCATGCAGACGTAGTTAATACCTACCATCATGTTCAATTCAATTCAAATTATATACAAATTCCAATTATTTTAGAAATTTTCAAAACAGCCCTAATAATGGCACTTCACGGCAGAATAAACACGTTCGGTGGAAAGCTACAAGATCCGACTCTCCAGATGCCACAAGCTCGGCAACAAGTACAATGCGAATGGTGTGGAAAACCTTCTCAACTTCTTGTTCAGATTCGATAGCCCTAAGAGCCTTAAGTTAGTTACATGGCCAAATCATAACGGTCGAAAAGTACCTAATCTTAAAACGCAACGATCGATAAAACCAAACGAACAACGAGGGAAAAGGTTCCATGATTGTCAAGCTGACTTCTTCATGTAACATGTCGAACGGATCATGCTAAATGCAAATCAAAGAGTGACATATTCAATAGTACAGTTATAATGCGAAAATGATGCAATTCATTTCTAAATTGGATAAAAAATCAGCGGCTATTTTCTCCACCGTTGACGATTCTTCTCCACTTTAATTTATGGGTGAATAATTTTAACAGAAACGCGTGTGAATTAAGTGCAAGATGAGTGAGATTCAAAGCTCTTGCCGGGTAGCATGAGCAGCTGGCAGAGGGTTGTCAATATGAATGTTTCGTTCTATTCTGCTAAGTTTCCCGAAATTTGCAGCCTCTGGGGATCGTCAAAAGCCTGGAGTATGGGGATTTGAAAGGTTAATCCATTCAACGTGACGAGGAATCTATCATTTGATGTTCACCTAAGCAACCATAGGCACGTTATTTCGCCTTTTTGGCTATATGCGGGCCTCATCAGAACTTACAAAAACTGATATATTTAGTCGTTGTTCAGCTGTGTCTATGGTTACTTGGGCAGTTTATAGTCATGAGTACGTGCGTGCGTGCAAAGAATCATGACCAACATTGGAGAAAATTCGGTAAGATCCTGCCATTGCATTATTTTCTGATTCTTCAATATTGTACAAATATTTACACATTACACACAACTAGACATAGTAACTCGGAGCGTTTGGTACGGTATATCCACGCATCCTTCCACAGATTCAAGAAATGTTTCCATTCATTTCCAAGAATCATCTTTGCGGCAAATACAACGCAGTAGGCCTGGCCGTATTGATGTTTATATCATATCTCAGATATGCTGTAAACATCAATTAGACAAGAAAAATGATTCGACCTCATCTAACCTAATCATTTTCCCAGGATGCTTTCTCGTACTGGCTGCGTTTGTATTAGATTAGATTAGAGATTAGATTAGATTATGTAATCATTGCGGAAAAATTTATTTAGGTTGCATTTAGAACACTTTTATAAGGCTCACAAAATCTGCAACTCCTGTGTTACGTAGCTCATAAGAGCAATTTAATCGTCAACGGCAGTTTAGGAGTTACCAAACCATAATTCTGCGCCCTCAATTCAGAACATTGTACATTAAAAACGCTAATTACTTGCTGCATTACCAGCTTTGGGATAGGTGTGCAATATCACAAAGCTGGTAATTCAGCAAGTTGATTAATATATTAAATGTTAGGAATGCTCTTGTGTTTGCCTATGAAAACTCTTACAACTCGTGGAAGAAATCTTACATCGAAAGGCACTCACATAAACTTTTATTTTAATATTTATTTTTGTGAGCAGAAATAGTAAATGTTTGGATTAGAATAGCATTTAACCCCAAAATAATACCTGTATGATAAAACTCCATTGCTTTGGGAGTTAAATTCCGATTATAACAGTAGGTCGGTGTACAACGTATCATTTGTAGTTCGCGTGTTTTTGTCACGAGTCCACCAAGCATCGCAAGACGCACCTCTCCTTCATTTATTGTATCCTTGAAAAGCATGTAAATATTTGATTTAGCAAAACTTTAGACGCGTTTTAACTTCTACGCCAATCTAACATTCAATTCTCGGTATCCACCTGTGCCTCACATGTGTGCAGCCATTAACGATGCTACTGTATAAATAATGAATGTAATTGCTCTTAATGCGCGAGGTGCGTTTAGCAAATGGCCTCTTTCCGTGATCTCGTAAATGAGCTGTTTATTTATCCGCGATGATGTAATTAATTTAAAACCATTTCGCCTAATGTTCTGTGTGCAGTCAGTGGTGAGTTTCAACCGGGACAGCTTTCAACTGCCACCCAACACGGAACACGGAATATCCCCATTACACAACGAGCTCTTCGGTAGTCCCATTCATGCTCCTAAGGGCGAAGTGGATAAATTAGCAATGCAGATTGCTTTCAAGAACTGATTTGCAGTAGATCGATGCTGGAACGAGCCTCCCGGTGATTTATGGCTCTCTGTCTTATTGGAAAACGACGCAAAGATGATTTGTGTTATGTGGCGGCATGCGATTTGCCTTCCAGATGGCCGGAAGGAAAATCAATAAACTTTCAATCAATTTTGAAATGCTGTCATCTGCTGATGAGTTGGAAATGGATTATTGGATATTGCGGTGGCAGCGGGTGAGCTGTAATGAATGGTGCAAGTCTAAAAACCCAGCTGAACCACGTGTCATGTGTCTATGAAGATGAATGCCGGTGTCAACTATTCCCGCAAACCTTCGGGCAGTTCATTGCGCTTGATCAAAACAAACAACGGGCATATCAGCGCACCGCTCGCTATAAACAACAAGTTACAGCACCGCCTCATCACGAGACAGCTCCCTAAGTAGGTTAATCTGCGCCCTTGGCAGTGACAAAACTTGCTCTCGCGACGCCGCCGCCTTCTCGGGCGTCGTCAGTCTATCAACAAAGATAATCGAAAATAGCCTTACCTTAGTTTCCTATTTTTGTGCACCGAAATGATAACGAGTGCATTTCCTAGCACAGCCCCGATGATGATGGATCCGAAGATTAAGCTTTTCATACACAGTACTCCCACCTCGAAGAAACGGTCCTCGTCGGGAGTGGAGAGAGCGGTCGTCCCATTGGCAGCCGTCACCGTGATCAGATCCGTCACGGTCGGCGCTGCTGCGGGCGGCGTTCCATTGCCGAAGTACGGGACCAGGCCACTACTGTTCGGTGTAGAAGTATTGGCATCCAGCAGCAGTGGGTCCAGTGTGGCTACCGTGACTGGCTTGGGGACCATCTCCGCTCCGGCCAGCATCGCTCTGAGGGCCATTAACACGATTCAACCGTCGTTGCTAATGCCATTTAACTTCCTCTTCGACTTATTCTTTTTCTTTCTGCTACTTCACCGTGCGATATATTTACAACCGGCTCAATACACTGATTACTTCGAAACACTCATACACACGTACTCACAGACGACGGTGACTTTTTTCACTTTTCCACGCTTTCCCTTCGGTATTTATTACACTCTCTTAACTCTAATTATGTGGGTAATTAAATTATTATTACTTTCTTCACTTGCTTTTCCCATCATAACACTTATCTCAGCTCTGCAGGGAGCCAGCCATTCGAGCAAACACGTAAACACAGACGCATACACACACGCACGTTCGCTGTGAAACGATGATAATATGAAGTTAGATGCTTTGGCCGGTGGGTGGTGCCGGTGAATTGCGAGCACTTTGCTGGGTGGTGGGCAGTGGCAGTGGTGCTAGTTTCAATTTTAAGTTTTTTTTGTGATAATGATGTTCAAGCATAAACAAATTTGCTTCCTGGGTAAATGGTCTTTTAGTTAGTCAATGTAAGACAGTTTTACTTTTTCTAGGTCAGTAACAAACACAGTATTTAGGTATTGGAGATGGTTGGATTTTAATAAGGACCAGTAAGTAACAGGCAAGGGTGATGAGAGGTTTCGAAACAGAGGGGAACGATTTTTATTTTGCTGATGGATCGGTGAGAGAACACGATAAGGCCGAATTTGATAAGGCTTAATTGGTCGTTAGGTCAAATGGGTCATTACACCAACATTTTTCCTTGAGCACCAATGCTACCGACGCCAGGAAGGCAGCTCCCACACCTGGACCCTACACGCAAACCAAAAATCTATTACAATGAATGGTAGTTCCGTTTCCTATCATCCTCTGTTCATGAACATCGCAGCGAATGTTAGAAGTTGACCTTACAGGCGATGTAATTGTCTTTTTCATTTCGTGTTCTATCTACGCTTTCGACTATACCAGTAAGCTTGTAGAACGATGCACATTGTAGAACAATGTAGAATGACACACACACTTGCCTAGAATGTCTCCAGCAGAAAAAGCATACGAAGTCAAGTATGCGAGAAAATGAGCGCTTCATGTTTGCTTTTAGGCTATCCATATTCAGGAGCATGGAGAGAGCAGTGGAGAAAGCACAGGTCTGACAATCGAAGCGTTCTTGGTTCGAGTCCAGTCGGCAATCGGATTCCTATTTTTTTCGACATAACTAATTTACCTCACTAATACACTCTACATTTTTCGGTCTCCAATTTTCTTGCATTGGACCGCAGCTAGGTATATCGCATCCTCGGTTCATGCGGTCTCCACTTACATCCTCTGATGATGAATCCCACATAATTGTAAGCGAATCTTACATCAAGTCGGTTGGGTGTAACTATCGACCCATCAACTCATGAACCGGGGACCAACGGTTTTACTTCTCTTCCGAAGGAAGGCGTGATCAGAGATGTTAGCCTCAGAACATCCCGGTGGCGCCGACTGGGATTGAACCCAGGCCTGCTGGTGTGAGAGGTAATCACGCTTTACCACTACACCACACGGCGCCAGAGTCCACATATCTACGACTATTCTTTGTCGGGTGTTCGTATTAGTGGAGAGAGCCTGGTGAAAGTCTTAGAGGAGGGATTTAATACGACCGGTTGGGTTGAAACATGAGACTAAAACTATTCTTTATTGATGCAGTACTGACATTTATAGCATACTAGGATTATTATAATTTCACCGAGTTGCTTCGATCTCCTTCATTCCTCCTCAAGCTCGGCGGGCTGTAGACCAATTTTCAGACGCATCATCTCCATTATGACGCGAGCCAATGGTTTTGTTAGACCATCGGCAACCATTTGTTCACTGGGGCAATAGCGAACGTCCATCACACTATTGTTGACCAACTCCTTCACAAAATTATAGCGAGTGTCGATGTGCTTTGTTCGGTTGCTACCGCCGGCAGATTTCAGCATCGCAATACAGCATTGGTTGTCTTCGTGTACAACTACAGGAGCCAGAATTGGTTCTCCAACGTCCTTCAGTAGCTTCAACAGCCACATCAGCTCGCGGCTGGCTTCGGAAAGCGCCACGTACTCCGCTTCAGTAGACGAAAGATTTACGCATGGTTGTTTTCGGGCTGCTTAACTGATTGGTCCTCCAAGACAGAAGACGAAACCGGTGTTTGATTTCCGGTCTGTCTTGTCACCAGAACAGTCTGCATCGACGTATGCTTCCAGCGGTCCGGATGAACCTAGACGTAGGCCCCAATTCACTGTTGACTGGAGATACCGGAGCGTCCGTTTTGCTCCGGTCCAGTCTGCTTCCGTTGGTCGACTCACCTTACGGCCCAGAATTGAGGCGCTTATGGCGATGTCCGGTCTCGTGTTGACCGCGATGTATAGAAGAGCACCCACCAGGCTCTGGAACTCGTCGTTTCTGGGCATGGGCTCCTCCTCCTTCTGCTGTACATTCGGGTACCCGGGATCCATCGGTATCGGCAAGGGCTTCGCTTTTGATTGTCCGAACCGTTCGGCTACCTTCTGGATGTAGGTTTGTTGGTTCAGGAAAAACTGTCCGCCGGATCTTGTCACTCGGATTCCCAAATAGTGTCACACGTCTCCAAGGCACGTAATGGTAAAGTGCTCCCCTGCTTCAGATGGCACGAAGCCCAGCTGCTTCAAGACTTCGGTGATTTTTTCATTCCACTCTGATTTTTTCGTAGATGCAGTACGTTGTCCTTGACCCCGTTATGGAATCCTACCGGCTGCTTCGTGAAAATGGTCTCCTCTAGCTCTCTGTGTAGGTACGCCGTCTTCACGACGACGTGCTTCACCAGCATTCCTCGTCTCGCGGCGACACTCAGCAGGGTCTGAAAAGTGGTTTGCTTGGTGACTGGCGCAAAGACCTCATGGTAGTCGGTTCCGTATTTTTGATTGAATCCTCGCGCTACCAGCCTGTCCTTATAGCGGATTGTTTGGCGACAAACGGACGACATCCCATGTGGAATTCTCTTCATGCGCCTTAATCTCTTCCTCCATGGCTGCCTCCCACATGTTGCGCTCGGGGCTAGCCATTGCTTCTTCGAATGTGCGTGGCTCGTCGACATATTGCACTGCTATGCGCACGGTGTCTTGATACCGTTCTGGCGGGATGCCCTTTGTGGTACGCTCCGATCGTTGGACTACTAGTACATCAACTTCACCGACGACGTCTTGCTCCTCCTGATACTCGGAAGTCTCAAGCTCCTCCTGCGCTTCTGTTTCCACAAACGTCTCCTCATTGGCATCGTCGTAGCTGGTCTCAAACCCGAGTAGATCGAACTCATCCGATTCGTCCTCGCTCTCGTCCACGTTTGCTGGAATAACGGGGACCTCAGCTTTCGGTTGCTCTAGGAGTCTAAATGGATAATCAACGATACTTTCCTTCTGAGGTTCGGCACTCCGAACCTCGTCCAATGGCAGTCCCGACTGACGGTCAGCTTGTCGTTGTTCAGGTCCACGAATCGGTACGCCTTGTGTTGGGAGGAATAACCAACGAGCAGCAACTTCCGAGATTTCGCTTCTAATTTGCTTCTCTTCTCTCCAGAGATCCACACGTACGCCGGTGAACCGAACATCTGGAGGTGGCTAATGTCCGACTTCGTGCCATACTACAGCTCGTACGGCGTTTTCTTCAACGGCTTCGTCGGCAAACGGTTTTGTAGATAGTTTTCAGTGTTAACCGCTTCCGCCCAGTATTTCAACGGCATTCGGGAGTCCAGTAGCATGCAGCGCGCCATTTCCACCAGTGAGCGGTTCTTCCGCTCCGCAACCCCGCTCTGCTGCGGAGTGTAGGCGGTGGTTAATTGCTGACGTATCTCCTGCGCTCGGCAGGGCACATCCAACACGACACTCTGAAATTCACCTCCCTGGTCGGAACGGATGATCTTCGGGGTTTTACCAAATTCCGTCTGGGCGAACTTGACGTACTCTTGAATACGCTGGGAAACCTCGGACTTCTGCTTCAGGAAATATACGACGGTAAACCGGGTGAAGTCGTTAATCATGGTGAGAAAATAACGACACCCACCGGGTGTCACGGTTCGCATGGACTTTGGCTTCGAATTCTTGGGGAACGGAAGACGTGTCAGCTTGCCCTCAAGACAGCATTCACAGACGACTCGGCAGCCGCACTCTTCCATCTCGATTCCAGTTGCCATACCCTTGGTCACCAGCTCACGGACGGCTTCATGGTCACGATGCCCCAACACACGGTGCCAAGTGTGCTGACAGTTTGACGTATGGTGCTTCACGGCCAGTGCTTCCTGGGGTACCTTCAGGGAGTACAGTCCCCCAGAAATCGTTGCTGCCGCAATCACCTTCTTGTCCTTCAAGATTAGACATCCGTTAAAGTCGAAAATGACCGTAGCTCCGTCAACTCATCAACTGCAAATCTCGCCAAACTGTGGTGAGATTGAGTTTAATGATTTTTGCTTTACACCCAAATGCAACCGAAACTTTCATAACGGCTTGAAGCAGTCCCTTCGCGTCTGCCATCGGTGAAGATTAAAAAGAGATAGCAAACTATGCTTTCTCTTTCTAAAAAAACGATGTGCAATGGAATCATTTTTGTGTCGAATCAACTCTCAGCTTGATTTTTGCACGTTGTGAATAGTCTCGCAATATCAAAGGAGCTTGTAAAATCAATATCAAACATGATATTCTGTTCCAATATCACGCGTGATATTGCGAGCGCATGAGAGCGGAAAAATATCAATTGATTTCTGATTTTGCCAACACTGGTATGGTTGATTGCTTTTGTAGCGGGAGGTGCGGTTTAAAAGCTCTGAAAAATTGGTATTTCATGTTCCATGTTTGCCAAAAACTTGTTGCCTATTCGGGATTGGTTATGCTACTCTTCTGGAGGAAATTCTAGTCGGAATAACTGTGAATTTGTAGTAGGAAATTCTCGGAATTTTCGTCCGTAATTCTCAGAATTCCTCCTCGGGAGTTCTCTGACCCTTTTGTGGGAAATGTTGTGAAGTTCTCATCGGAAGTTCTATGAATTTTTCGTCGGATGTTCTCCTCACTTCTCCTTGGATGTTCGCTGAACTTCCCCTAGGAAGCTTTCAACTTCTCCTCGGAAGATCTTTGAACTTCTCGTCGGAAGTTCTCTGATCTTCTTCTCGGAAGTTCTCTGGACTTCTTGTCGGAAGCTCTATGAACTATTTCAGAAGTATTTAGAGTTTCTTGTCGGAAATTCTCCGAATTCATCCTCAGAACTTTTCAGAACCTCTCACCAGAAAGTCTATGATTTCCTCTTCGGAAGTTCTCTGGACTTCTCCTCTGGAATTCTCTGGACTTATCGTCAGA